GTACTGAGTGCCGAGGACACCACCAGGAACAGCACAGATTCGGTCTCAACACTCAGGGTACACATAGTCTAGAAGGAAAGACAAATAATGAACATATGTGCTATGGGAAAGTACAACAGCTACTTGGTCAAATGAAAGCTCAAAACTGAGAGAAGACATAGGTAGAAAAGGCAAACACTTAAAAAAAAAAAAATAGCTGCCACTGAAAATGGTGGATAAAAATCACCCAATACATGACTCAGCTAAGAAGGCAAGGAATACTACAGCTATGGACTCTGGAAAGGGATCTAAGTAATGACCAGGGTGTTGTAGAGCCTGATGCGAATGAAGAGCTGACCCTCACAATGGGCTCCAATCATAAGAGCCAAAGAGCTCAACTTTCGGGTAGCCTATTCTCAGTACCTAAGGGGTCAATCTGGTTAAGTGCAGGTCCTGGAGGCAGTATCACAGTATCTTGCAAGCTTGCCCCAGTTGAAACAGAGTCCCAACCAACCACCTGTGACAAAAACAGGTCCCAACTCCCTGAGGGGAAGAGGGGATGGCAGGGAGAGTCAGATGACCAAGGGTTCTTAAGCATGCTTAAGATAAGGTTTCAGGTCCACAAGGGATCTGGAATACAAAAAGAAAACAGCACAAGAAAATATATCAACTTATGGACTATTTAACACTAAAAGAAAGGCTATGGAACTGCTTGTTACTTTTATAAATACTCAAAAAAAAAACAAAATAAATGTCTAAATGACTTAAGTATGACCTTAATGTGTGAGGGGAAAGGATTAGATATTCTTACTAATTCATACTGAATTTACATCCTAATTCCATTCAAACCTGTATCGAAATATTCTAGATGCCTCACACACCTCACTTAAAAATGTTTATCCTATGTATTTCAAAACTCTGGATGAGTAAAGTGTCTTCAAAAATGAGAATCTCCTAGTCAAACTGCATATATATGCCAATGATACAGTGAGATACCATACTTCTGTGAGCAAGTTAATTCCTGATCCCACCTCCGGAAGTAGATGGGGGGTGTTAATGTATTTTCAGTCTTAAAAATCAATTCAAAAACTGGGTCAAGAGGATAGGACTGGCAGTAGGTAGGACATATAGGCTGGGACTGGCTAAAGAACCAGAAATGATACATGTGAAATGATGTGCTTCCTATAAATACCACCCTACTGTACCGTTCAATTGTTTTCAGTAATAGGTAAGATTCACAGAAAAAAAAATGCATGTCATCCAAAGGTATTGTCCCTGTGAAGGCTATTATTTATATGATCCTACATATTCAAAAAGGAATCACTCTAAGGAATCGGCCCTACATTTGCTCAAACATTCTCTTCCAAAGCTACTCAAAGGGTGCAGTGGTGGTACTTTCCAAAAAGAAATGCTTAAAAATTTTCCTCAGTTAATTCTCTTAAAATAAACAAAAAAGAGGAGATAAGCCTAAGAGAAAAATATACAGAGGGTTTTGGGTTGTTTTGTTTTACCCTATCACCAGAATGCCCTATCAAATACAGCATAAAACTGTCTAAAATATCATTTCAAGACAGCTTGCCAAGGTAGTCTGGACCCAAAAGTCATGATCCTTACAAAGGTCTATATGCTGAAAAATGTAGCTTTATAAAAGTGAAACCAAAACTTAAAAATGTGGCCTACAGTAACAATTAAAGGGTCACTCAATTGATGGTTGTCAAACTTTACTCCAGTGGAAAGTTTCACTGGAAAATTCGTATTACTTTAGCTCTAATGAGATGTTCTATCAAAAAATTTAAATAACGGTCCTTTACCCAATTTTACAAGAGAGTAATACACGTTAAAGAATAAAATTCTCCAAGTTCAGTTCGTTCCCCCAATTTTTCTAAAATATTTGTTACCTGCTACCTCTTTCAATATTGGAATTAGGCCTAATGGAGTATCTGATTCAACACACAAAAGAAATGAATTTATTTCACATTTATACAATCATGGTTCGTGACCTCCAGGCACGCGGCTACCTTAGGTTTGATCAAGCCCAACAGGACCACAAGTATTTAGGGAGCATCTGCTACACCTGACACGAGGCATACACAGAGTAAGACATGGTTTTTCATGAAGCCCCCACTAGGCAAAGTGCACAGAAGCCAAGAAGTATTTATTAATGCTGAAATATGGTGGCATGTGAGATGCAAAGAATTCACCCCACCCCAGCAAGAACTTCAGGACTTCTGCATTTGAGACTGAGAAAAGTGAAGCTGGCTGGGGATACTGGAATTCAGTTACTGCAAGTGTACGGCACCTTTCCTCCTCCCTAAAGTCGAGGTTATAAACACCACAGTCTTATATGTAAAGACTTTTGAAATGCCAATCTCCTGGAACTGAAACAGACTATCTGAACCAAGAATATGAAGTACAAAATACTCTTAAAGTGCAAACAATCACTGCTTTCAAACAAACTGAAAAGTACTGTTTTCAGCTGATAGAATGTAACATGTCCTAACTATAAATAATCTGTATCATTTGTATCTAATCTGTCCAAGTCACAAACTAAGGCACATACTCAAAACAGGAAAAAGAAAAAGGGAAATTTAGTCACTGCTAGGCTTTTTTAAAAAGTAACATAATCAAAACAAATTTGGGTACAAGAATATTCGTTGGGGAGGTCTGAATTACAGGCTTAAGCATTCAGTTTCTCAAGTCAACTAGTTCTATTCAACTTCTGTTAAATATCTTCAAGGAACTTTCTTTGGTTTAGTTTTCTCCCTGTAAAATAAGGGGGTCGGATTAAACTGTAAGAGTCCCCTACCAAAAAAAAAAAAAAAAAAAAAGACATTTCTGTGATTGTGTGGTATGTAAGACTGAAAAGCCAACAGGCAAAACAGGAGTAAAGAAGCCATGTTAACGACCCAAGTTAATAGTGCTAAAAATTCAGTTTCCTATTTTAGATCTCTGCATTGTGGTTCAGCTTTTTACCTGTTCAGCTTTACGAGTTCGTCAAAGAAAAGCTGCAAGACTCAAAAAGGTCCTCCTCCTCCTCCAACCCTCAACGCTAGAGCTGCCTCATTCAATACCAGCCTCTAAGGAAAAATGTGTAAGAAAGTGAGAGCTGAGAGGAATCGGCTCTCGGACCTGGAATGGATGCACGGGTCGAAATGCAGCAACGCCGCACAGCACCGTACGTTGGCGGCTTTCCTGCACGAAACTACTGCCAAGCTGCAGCCTGAGGTCAAACAGGTGGAGAGGATGCGGGGGGATGGCTCTGCTGCATCCTTCGGGTCTTTGCAGCAGCTCCTTCTTTACCTGACCGCTGCGCTGCTGGGCTTTAACATCGACTCCGGGGGGGGGGGGGGCGGGCGGGGGGGGGAGGGAGGCACCAAGCCACCAAGGTGAGGGCCGCGGCAGCGCTCGGGGGCTGCAAGAGCTGCAACCCGCCCCTGCCGGAAAGTCACCGTCAACCCGCTTTCCATGCCAAACCGGGCTACAGGTGCAGGAAAAAAAAAAAAAAAAAAAAGTGTGAAGCCTCCTCCTTGAACCTCCCATCACGCTGCCTGCGGGCGCTACCTTACGAATTATCTCAGAGATCATCTGATGCAGTACAGTTCTCAGAAGGAGACTCTAAAAGTTGCATTTGCGAGAGAGAGAGAGAGAGAGAGAGAGAGAAAAGGAAAAAAACATTGAAAAAGAAAAGCCTCCCTCGGGCCTACAGGTTAAAAGTGCGGAGAAGTGCGACTTCGCTGCAGGGGGCAAGGCTGCACCGAGAGGACCTAAGGGGACCTCCCGCCGGCGCAGCCCGGGGCCCGACCCGGGGCAGGACCCGCCCGATCCTCGCTGGGGGGGCGGGAGCGAGGGCAGCCTGGGTCCCAGGCCTCGGAGGGGCGGAGGGCGCAGGCGCGGGGGGGCCGAGGGGGGAGGGCGCAGGCGCGGGGGGCGGGGGAGCGAGGGCGCAGGCGCGGGGGGGTCGAGGGCGCAGGCGCGGGGGGGAGCGAAAGCGCAGGCGCGGGGGGGGGGGCACCCGGCCGGGCCTGCCCGCGCCGCCCCCGGGAAGCCGGCCTCCCTCCTCCCCGCCGAGCCCGGGCCGCACCAGGAGGCGGCGGCGCGCCGGGCCGCTGCAGGCGGGCAGAACTCAAAAAAAAAAAAAAATTAATTAAAAAAATAAATAAATAAAAGAATCAAATCCGAAAACGGGCGGCGTGCGGGCCCGCGAGGCGGCGGCCGGGGCACCCCGCTCGGGGCACGAGGCGGCGGCGGCGCGGGGAGCGCAGCGCGTGCGCCCGAGAGACGCGCCGCCCGCGCGCCCGGCCCCGCCCCCCGCCCCCTGCTCCCGCCGCCGCCGCCGCCGCCGCCGCCGCCCCCTGGGAACTCCGCGCCGCGCGGCCCCGCGAGGCGGGCGTCGGGAAGGGAAGGGGAGGGGCCGCGCTCCCCGCCTCCCCGCCGGCCTGCGCGGCTCCCAGCCCGGAGCCTACTCACCTCCTCCTCCTCCTCCACCTCCTCCTCCTCCTCGGCTCTCCCTCCTGGCCACCGGCGCGGCCCAGCCGGCGACGCGCTGACGCCGCGCCCCTCCCCCGCGGCCGCCGCCGCCGCCGCCCCTCCCGGCCTGCGGCCGCTGCGGCCTCCGGGCGCGTCAGGCGCAGGCCCCGCCCACGCCCCGCCCACGCCCCGCCCACGCGCCGAGGCCACGCCCCCTGCTCGCGCCGCCCGCGAGGGCGCGGGGTCTCTAACCCGCGGCCCCGCAGCCCGGGCCACCTGCCGCTGCCCCCGCCTCGCTCCCGCGGCCCGTCCCCGCGCGCCCTTCCCCCCGCTCAGCAGCTGCCCTCCGAGCCTCCCGAGCCTGTGCGTCCTCGGCCCTAACCCTCCGGGCTTGTGGTCTCGCGCTGGGCGCCTTGCCGTCTCCTCCGCGCGGTCCCCGCTGCTCCCCAGAGCGGCCTGGGCCTCGGCCTGCAGGCGTCCTGCCGCTTCCCCGCCCCGGCCCCCGCGGCCCCGAGGCCTGCCGCAGCCGCCCGGCCCCCCGCGGCCACCTGTACCTGGTCTGCAGCTCGCACCTCTGCTGCCACGTCGGCTTCGCCCACGCGTCCTCCTTTCGCTGCGGGAGGCTCAGGCTCTCCTTCACCTACACGGCGTCTGTCCTTTCGGCTCGGACTCCTCCACACACTTAAGATGCATGTTGGGTATTGAGGAATTGCTCGTCCACACTTACGTGAAATCGCATTGAGGAACTAAAAAGCACAAAGAGAGAGCGGTGGTGACCACCTTCGAGTCGCACGGTGGCCTCTACTTTTCTCCTTATGACAGTGTATTAATTAACACTCTAAACTTTAAAGGAATGCCGTTTTCTGTTTGGGCTTACAATTCACAAGTTCTGGATGTTTTTTTTCCCTGCAACCTAACCTCACTCCCTGGATGAAATACTTGGTTAGATTGATAGAATCCATAGTAGAAAAAGCACCAGGACCTTTTAGGTCTCTTGTTTTCTTATCTGTAAAATGAGGAATTTGTCCCTTCCGCATTTAAATCTCTGTGATTTCGAACTGAAAGATTTTCCATTTGGAAGGAGCTTGTGGGTTAAAGGAGTCAGGAGAAGGCAGATAATGCACATGTAACTGGAAGTCTGGTAACTTCGTTTTAAAACTGCAACTTGGGAGAGTTAGGGTGTGATGTGGAAGTGAGTTCAGAAATGAAGGAAACTGATTAGGTCTTCGGAGTTGTATCCACAAGTTGTTTTAAATTGTGTGAATAAACATTATTATCCTTAAATTGAAGAGTCAAAACGATCTCCCATTCTAAACAAAATCCAGGCTCTACGTGGACCTTCAAAGTTTAAAACCATTGTTGAATTGAACAACTGCATTACGTGCATCTGAAAGCCTAATAAACCATCTGTCCATCTTCCTTAGTACAAATTGGGGAAAAAAAAGAAAAGTGTAAATGCCAAAAGCTAGAAGCTGGATTGGTAACTACATAGGAAACAGACAAATCCTATCACACAGAACAAGGGTATGAAAAACTCTAAAGACTGTGGCCTCCATTTCACTGCTTTAGAAATAGAATCACGTAATTTTATAATTAAATTATCTAGTCCTTGATATCATCTGGAGTCTAATCTTTTCCTTTTCCAGATGAAGAACTGAAGCCCAAAGAGGGTAAATTCCTTGCCCGATATTACCTAGATTAATTGGAAATAAAGCCAATATTCAGGCTCAGATTTCCTGTATCACAGACCTGCCAGCCTCTGGCTTACAGTTTCCCATTATGTAAAGTTACTCGACATCAGAAGTCTTTGCCTTTGCAGTTTTGTGTACATGGTCTGAGGGTTACATGAAACTGAACTCGGCATTAACTAGGGAGGTATTGCTCTCAGAGTCCATTTTTGTGCCACTGGTTTCAAGGATTCCTATTTCACAAGCTCCATCCCACCTGGTCAGTGTTCATCTTTATAATCCAGGCAATTCTGGCCAGGCCTGTGAGGCCATGCCCCAATCAAACACATTCATCCTAGGAGGTGCCAGCAGCTGTGCATGAGTGTAAATATAAAACAGTCCCCACTGTCAGGAAAATTATGATATTACTGGGGAGGTAAAATATGAAACAAATAGATAAACAATTCACCGTTAACAGGCAAGTATTCAATCACAAAGTCCAAATCTTAAAATTATTGATATAAATTAAGGGAAGATTTCTTAAAAGGACAAAAAAAAAAAGAAAAAAGAAAAGAAATGTAGAATTTGGATTGGTGTAAAGGAAATTGCTTGAACAAAGGTCCAGGGAAGAAAACAAGCAAGCTAAGAGTGGGGAAGAGTTAGGAGATCAGATGAACTAGAACGGGAAGTTCATTTAAGAAACAATAGAAAATCAAGCCAAAATGGTAAGGTGGAACCAATCATGGAGGACCTGAATTTAAGCCTAAGAAATTTAATTGAGCTAATACAAGATCATTCTGGGTGGATTTGGCAGGGGAGAGGGGTGAAGACAAGAGACAACAACTTCTGAAGTTGCAAGTGGGATTTGAAAAGAAATATTAGTCATATATATGCCTAAGGAGAAGACTTGAGTTCAGGGAGTATATACGGGGACCAAAGAAGAGTAAGCAGTCCGAGAGGACTTTAGGACTATGGCAAGAGTCAGTAACGGTATGCATAGGCCTGAGCACCTTGGATTTGGAAAATGATCAGTGCTCAAGGGGTGTTCAAAGGCTCAGGAGATCTGAGCCTGAATACTAGCTTTATTTCCAATTTAGGTAATATTGAGCAAGGAATTTACCCTCTTTGGGCTTCAGTTCTTCATCTGGAAAATGAAAAAATTAGACTCTAGATGATATTAAGGACTAGATAATTCAATTACAAAATTCCATGATTCTATTTCTAAAGGATTTGGAAAATGGTCAGCCTCTCCATTGCTAGAGAAGGAAGAAATTTTCCCAAGGTATGCTTTCCTATTCATCACAACTTCATTCCAGAAAACTTTAGTTGCCACTCAAGTTGAATTAAAAGGTAAGAAAGAAAGCTCTCACCCTGTCATGGGCTTTATGCTGGTGTTTTATGGTCGACTTATTTTTATTTCCGTTTCAGCCCTACTGATGTAAAAGTGCTCAGTGGTGTAGTATATAATGTTACAGTCGGAAATAAATCAATAAATGTTTGCTAAATATATACCAAAAGCTGCTCAGCACTCTGGTAGGCCTAGAGGACTGGAAAAGTATTAAAAAAAAAAAAAGAGGCTTCTCCCTTTCATAAGCTCATAATCTCGTTGGAGAAAAAAAGTCAACACTCCTGACACAATAGAAAATAAATTCCATGGATAGTGAGAACAACCTGTGGGGACTGTACCATGTACTTATTATAGAAATGGTAGGGAATAGAGTTGGATGGATTAGAAATGATATAATCCACAGTGTTCATAATTCAACAAATTTTCATTAATCTCTAAATTCTATGTTCTGGAACTAAAGCCATAAAATAAAAAGCTCCTACTCTCAGGGAGTATACATTCTATATGGGAGAGACAGAGAGGAACAAATAAATACATGACAACCAAATAGTAATAATTGTTCTAAAGAAAATTAAATGTAAAGGTATCAAAATGAGTAGAAGAAAATAGGGTACCTGGATGGCTCAGTCGGTTGAGCGTCTGACTCTTAATTTTGGCTGAGGTGATGATCTCAGGGTCATGAGGTCAAGCCCTCCATCAGGCTCCATACTCAGCAGAGAGTCTGCTTGAGATTCTTTCTCTCTCTCTCTCTCTCTCTCTCTCTCTCTCTCTCTCTCTCTCATCAAAAAATAAATAAATCTTTTTTTAAAAAGAGTATGAGAGTAGGTTAGACCTTTCTGAGGAAAATTTAAACAACAACTTGAATGAAAGAAAAAACTAGTTATGGGATGATTCGGAGAAGAGAAGTTCAGGCAGAGAGTAAACTAGTGCAGAACTCTAAGGAGAGGTCAAGCCTAATGTCTTTGAGACTAAAAACAGCAAGTGTTTCTGGAACGTAAAGAGCCAAGAAAAAAGTAAGATGAAAGAGGAGAGAAATGTAAGGCCCCATAGGTAAGAAGGGATTTTAGGATCAGATTAAAGTGTAGATATCTGGAAGATTAGTCACTGTCGTTGTGGATTAGAGAAGAGAGAGATTAGGACCTGGAGGACCAGATGGAAGCCTGCCTGCATGACAATCCAGGCAGGAGGCTATGTGAGGTAGACAAGGTTGGTGGCCGGGTTAGCAAAGAAGACAAAAATGTCAATGAAATCAATTACTGGGTATTTATGGGGAGTGGTAAGTGGTGTTGGTTGGGGAGAGTCCACAGTGATAAATGCAGCAAAAAGGTCAAGGAGAATAAACACTGAGTAAAAGCTAGTATGGTTAACAGAAAAGATGTTGCGTGTGACCTCCAAGAGAAGAGTTTCCATAGGGCAGGGTGTGAAGAAGTGATGAAATGAATGCAGTGAACTTCGACTATAAGAATCAGCACAAGTAAAATACACAAATTTATTTATTTTATTTTATTTTATTTTATTTTATTTTTTTATTTTATTTTATTTTTTTCCCTTCAAGGCCTTTTACATTTGGAATACTATTAAACTCTCAAAGCCATATAAACATTCCCAGCCAGGTCTAATATTTTGTCTCCATACTGAAGGGAGAACAAATTTATACCATGGAGACATATCTCCTATGTTTTTCTGGGCTAAAAATCAGTCCCCATCAATGACTCCCTGCTCTAAATAGAATCAGAAAACGTTCACTCTTACCCATGAGTTGTGGCAAGAGCCTAACAGTGGAAACACTGAAGCAGATGTAGTACCGTATTGGTTATGCTTCCCTTATGGCCACCTGTCACGTCTAAACCATGTGGGCCATGGATATTACCTTGAGCACATCGCATCGCCCCGCGGTGAACTCCAGGTTCCTGCTATTAGTAATAGAGAAGAGTCTCTCAGATTTTAAGCTCCTAGGCATACAGGTTAGCACTTCTACAAAAGAGAACAGATACTAATCTGTCACATCCACATGAACAGCTATCATGACTCCAAGCCATACTGTCACACAGGCTTTCCATAGAGACAACTTGGTTGAACTAGACGTTCTTCCGTTCAGCAAATTTTAAGACAATTAACAAAGAGTTTTCCCCCCTGGAAACAGACTAGACTAGCTTGGTAGTCAGAATGGAAGGAGAAATTTCAGTCCCCTCTGTTCATATTGGTGCAGCTTGAGCATCTCAAGGAAACCAAGCCTGACTCCGGCTAAGTTGTCTCCACACATGCATGTGCATGCCTCTCCCCAATTGCCTGGTGTAGGTGAGTAGAGTGTGTTAATTCATTAGGTGTTATTCAAAGATGGAACACTATTAGCACTCTTTTTTATTTGGAATATACTTCGTTCGGGGGGGTCTGTTGGGAACAGTTCATCTCTTGGGATGGTTTGGAAAGCTTCATTAAATTCAGCGAAGGGAGGGAAAAAAGTGCAAGTTATTCTAAAAATAATCATGAAATTTACTATGTGTAATTTGCTGGCCCAAATGCTTCTCAAGTCAGTGGTGACCAAGGATTCCTAGCATTAATGAACAATTACCATATTGCTGAAATCGACACCATATTTAGCCTGAAAAGCCGCCTTGTTTGTGGTGCTAAAGATGCCAAAATATTAGTAGCCCAGAGTATATAAAATGTACTCTCTTGTTGTTTAAATGATCTCTTTAAATTATGGTTTAGCTGTTCCAACAGCACAATGCAAGGAATTTGCTTTGTCATTGTTACCTTCTGGCCTAGAGACAGAAGCATTTTACACTGTGGTTCATCCTGTACCTTTTACAAGGATAAATGCATGTTTTTATTTAAAAGCAAAGAAAGCTTACATAATCTCTCCTCATGATTAGCATTTCCAGTAATTATCTGTTGCTTGGAATCAGTGTCAGCCAACCAAGTTCAGATGGCAAAAAAGTGTTTGATCTGCAGTGATGTGATTTAGAATACTGTGTGCACGGAAGGTACAGCTATGCACATACAGAGAACATATTTATCTAATTTGACTGCCAGTGATTTAATTAATGTTTGTCAAGCACTTTGAACATGAAAAGAACTATCTGAAAGCTAAGAGCTATTACTCATAATCATTTTTCCTATTTGTTGAACTAAAATTAACATACAAATGTGATACTCTTACAGTATCATTGAGA